TGTTCCGTCTGTTTTGTGCACGGAGCCGAACGCGAGCTGTTCACGAACAAAGAGTGCTTTTAACAAACCCAATCATTTAGCCATAAGACATAAGACAATAAGGGTTTGAACAAGTTTTAAAAATTATTATTTATACTAAAACATCATTTGAATCTAATTTAATGATTTTTATTATTTTTTCTTTATCAATATTTTAATTGATTATAAATCTTTGTAGCCTTGTAGTTAATTAGATTTTCTTAAAATACTACTTAATATATATATAAACTTGATGAGTAGTATTTCGAGCAAAACGAACCGAACACGAACGAACACACATCTTAGTTCGTGTTCGGCTCATTAGCTTATCGAACAAAATTAACGAGTCGAACACGAGCTTCTTAACGAGCCGAACACGAGCTGTACGCGAACAACGAGCCGTTTTGACAGCCTTACACATGAGCATAAGATAAAATATTTAAAAAAACAAATTTTAATATTTTACCTTCTCCCAACAATTCTAATTTTAAATCTCTATTTTTTTACTCATTTTATCATTAATCTTAAGTTCTAAATTCCTTCTTAAAATGAAAAAAATATTTATGTGATAATGTCAAATTAAAATAAGAAAATTTTTTGTATTCAAAGTCTAATAAATTATAATATATTACAAAAATATATTAATTAAAATATTAATTTTATTTTTGTAGGGTATAATGATTTGTATGCATGAAGAATTATATCATGTCTTAATGAGGGACTTGCAATATAAATACATGAAGAAATATAAGTACTTTTGTATGTCATATATGTTTCAACATGCAAAATTATATGATAAAATTTTGAAAAACTAATTATAACATGCACAAAATTATAATTTTAAAAGAAGCTTATATAGCAAATTCATGTAATATTCATTTCTTTAAAATATATTGATAAAATCATTAAATACTTATAATAATAATATTTTAAAATAGATGAAATTTTATATATCAAAATAATAAGAAAAAATTAAAAATTAGTTATTAATATGTTCCCAAAATAAATAAAAAAACCCAGCCAAAATATGGAATTTAAATTGTTATATGTGAAAACTTTAAGCATAAAAATCTAAGTTTAAATTTCATATATATATAAAATTATAATCCTTAATAATTGAAAATATATCTTAAAATTCTATTCACAATTCCATTTATAAATTCGTTTATTATGAATTAGTTTAGTTTCTTAATTACTAATAGATATGTTAATTAAAAATGCAATATTAATTCCTATACAACATTCAATTTGGAATAAAATCATAAAATTATGTAGTTGGAGATTAGATGGCAAATTCTACAATCTAAGGCTATCATTTGTAAAGGAACGGCCTTGCTTGGCTAAGCTAAGTTGCCAATTTGCTACATAAAGTCATCGGTTTTATTGAGTGAAATCGCCAGTCTAATTGAGCAGTTGCAAAACTGAAAAACAAAACCACGAAATACTGACATGAATGTTGGTTTCGCCACAATGGATTACTTGGCTTGGGATTTCAACTCCAACACCCTCTTCTCTGTACTCTTCAGGGCTTCGCCATAAATGCTTATCAGCTGAAAAAAGCAGACCAAAACACAACGACAGTTAAAAATATCAGCTAATTTATTGTGCAAAAGGGCCAAAATGGCAACAAAGAAAACAATTAACCCATTCTACAAAACATAAAGGGACATTTACATGCATAGCAACTAATTCGTATGTATTTACATATCCAACATTTAAATGCATAGGGATTTAGTGGTTGTCTGTATGTAAATCTTCCAAAAAGAAACATGGATGCTACCTCATCAACTTCTTTTTCGGAGAAGATAAGGGGAGGTGACATCATAATGCTGTCTCCTGCAATGCGGATTAACAATCCGCGCTTTGCACACTCTGCACCAAAAAAGGATCCTACGCCTGGAGAGCATCATGTTCAGTAATCAAAACAACAAAAGAGTTTAAACTTTAAACGTTAGTTCTTTCTTCTTTTCAGTACATACCCCATTCGGATGGGAAAGCATCATTTGGAGATTTGTTGTCCGTAAATTCAGTCCCAAGAATAAGGCCTGTGCCTCTTATCTGAAACAACAATATTTTGTATATTTTAGATTAAGAAACATCAAATTTGAGATTTATTAAATCAGTATTTGCATCCTTAGCTTTAAACTCCTAAAGGTTACCATCATCATCATTAACTTTATCCCAAATACTTTCGATTAACTATATAAGGCCTCATTATCTAGTGTATAAAGTTTGAAGTATTAAACTTCGTTTTCATAAATCTTTCTCTACAACTTCTGCCTATGTTATCATTGGCTTACCTTTTCTTTCTAAATCATTTAATATTCATTTGCTTTACCCATTTTATTAAGTGCATCTACAACCTTTCGTTCCATATGCCCATAACACGTTTTAATTTTCACCAACTGATCATCAATAGATGCTACTCCAACCACATCATTAATATAATTATTTATTGATGTTGAGAAATTTAGGGCGAAGAAAAAACAAGAATCGACACAAATCCAGAAGAATACACAGAGATTTACGAGGTTCAACAATGATGCCTACATCCTCAAGAGTAGAGCGGCGACTTCCTCTTCAATATTCAAAAAAAAGTACAGAATACAAGATTCAAAATCTCAGAATTTCACCTACGGTTACAAACAGAACAATATGTAACCCTATGATACAATATGTAATTACTTAAATTACCCATGTACCAAACCGCGGGGTGTTGCCCCGCACCCCAACCCACATAATGAAACTCCCTGATTGGACAGATCTTTCAGCTCCACTCCGCTCGTTGGCTCTGCTCCACTCCAGCATCTATCCCATTTATGGTATATGAGTCATACCTAACAAATCTACACCTTGACGAATATCCAGCCCCTTAGGAGAACTATATCATAGAATTTCTTATGCACCATTGTGAGTTGGGCCACAAATCTTTTTAAATAATCTCTTAATTTAGACTTCCTTAATTAAGTTTCCCAGAAAAATGACTTTCCCTTAATAAAATTTTCCTTAATTAAACTTTCCTAGAAATCATTTTCCTTAAACTTCCAAGAAAAGCTCCACTTTCCTTCCTGAAAAACTCCGCCTCCGCTTTCCAGAAAAGCTCCTTTTTCCTACCAGAAAAACTCCACTTTTCTTCTCAGAAAAGTTTCGTTTTTTGCTTTCCAGAAAAGCTCAGTTTTCTTTCCAGAAAACTCTTCTTTCCTTCTCAGAAAAGCTCGGTCTCCTCTTTCCTTCCAAAAAAGCTCTGTTTCCGCTTTCCTTCCAGGAAAACTCTCTTTTCCTTCTCAGAAAAGATTCATTTTTGCTTTCCAGAAAGACTCATTTTTCTTTCTAGAAAACTCCGCTTTACTTCTCAAAAAAGCTCTACCTCCGCTTTCCTTCCAAAAAAGCTCTGCCTCCGCTTTCCTTCCAGAAAAGCTCTGCCTCTGCTTTCCAAAAAAAACTCCTTTTTTTCGGCTCCAGCGCTATTCAGCGATTCACGCCGCCGTGCAAACTGCTCCTCCGCGCAACTTCCAAACTGAATCCCGCAAACACCGAATGCCTGTGTCGACGCGAAACTCCCGCATGCAGCGAGCTCCTCCTGTGTTGTAAAGGGAATATTCCCTCTGGTAGAGATGGAAGATTCCTTGATTCTCCTCCGGCAAACAGCCTGCAGCAAACCGCCTTCGGCTTCACATTCACAAACTTCTGCTTTAGCGGCAGCCTCCCGCGAATAATCCTTCGCGCCTCCGTATGTCGACCTCCCGCGAAAGCCTTCGGCTTTGCCTTCGCAAATTGGTCCTCCCGCGCGATTCACGCCCTTCGCGAACTCCTTGTTGCCTGCTCCAACAATCTTTCGCGAACCGCCAAAGTTCTTCGCCGAATCGTTGAAGCCTCGAGATTTACCGAACTCCTCTGCCCTAGCTGCCAAAATCTCCTTTATTCTTGCGCCGCCGAAATTTTTCTTCCCTACCCTAGAACCTGGCTTTGATACCACTTGTTGAGAAATTTAGGGCGAAGAAAAAACAATAATTGACACAAATCCAGAAGAACAAAGATTTACGAGGTTCGACAACGATGTCTACATCCTCGGGAGCAGAGCGGCGACTTCCTTTTCAATATTCAAAAAAGAGTACATAATACAAGATTCAAAATCTCAAAATCTCACCTAGGGTTACAAACAGCATATATATAACCCTATGGTAAAAAATGTAATTACTTATATTACCCGTGCACCAAACCGCGGGGTGTTTCACCTACACCCCCAACCCACATAATGAAATTGCCCCGATTAGACAGATCCGCTCTATTCCGCTCGTGGGCTCCGCTCCGCTCCAGCATCTATCTCATTTATGGTATATGAGTCATACCTAACAATTGACTATTGCTATTCAGTTTAATAAAATTTCTATCTTCACTTTAGAATTAATCTCATTCTTCAGCTATCCAATAGATAGTAGATAATACAAAAAAATGCCCATAAATAGTAGGATACAACAGACCAGAAGATCAATGAAAGTGAAGTACCTCCCCGATAATGGGGCTATCAGAGAAAGCTTTGATGCCCTCCTGAAACTTTGGGGATATGGCTAGCACGTGCTCAGTTATATTTCTTTCCCTGAAACAATGGAGTCGTAGTTCAGTAAATAGGATATCACCAAGATGGACGTATATTAATACAATTATTGAAAGAAAATTTGCATCAACATATTTTCAAATACGCGCACCTGTAAATCTTGAGAGCTTCTATTGCAACAGCACATGACACTGGATGCCCAGAATAAGTGAAACCGTGTGAAAATGCGCCTGAAATGTACATCTAATTCAGTTGTAACCAATAGAAACTAAATATATAAAAATTAGAGTGATGCATATGCCTTAGGGTTTAGGACTTTCTAAACATGCACTTAAAATCAAAATTACAGGAAACAAAACTTTTAATCTAGGTATATTTCCTCTTTTAATGCTAATAAAGAAATGCAAAGCATTCACCACAATGCTAATTTTATGATAGTCCAAATAAAAATTTTTGCAAGAAATTTGAAAACAAAAAAAATGCATTTCAATCGAGATACACAATGCAATCAAAATATTCAATATCATGAAAGAAAAGCCTAAAACAACTCAAGTTAGTAAATTAATATATATATATATATAAAGAGAGACAGAGAGAGAGAATATAACAAGATAAGAACTCATAAATAAAAGATATAAGCCTCATACTAATACAAGGAGAGTTCTCCCAAAAATTATCAACCAATACTTGCACCATATTCAAGGAAGCCAGATCCCGCAATTACAAAAGTTTGTGAAAAACATAATAATTTTATCAAGTAATCAACTATTATCACTCAGATCTTCCTATAATTAAATTTCTCAATTTTTTTTAAGTCAATAACCCAGATAAATGAAAAACTACAAAAACCACAATTCCTAATCGTCAGTGCTTGCTAGCTCTTAAAAACTAGTTAATAGGGAATGCAACAGATATTTTTTGGAGGTCTAAGGTAAAGTAATCCTACCTCTCATCATCTTTCATCACGATTAGTCAATTTATTCAAAGAATGCTCTAAGCCATCTGCAAAAGATGGTTGGATTGAATGTAGCAAATGTGGTAATAGCAAAATTCGTCATCAGTGGCATTCAATTTGTAGGTTAATATCTACAACTAATTTCAGTTATGCATATGGATGTTTGTCCCTGTAGCTGCCGCAGGACCACCTCCACATTCCCACTCCCAGAGGTATATGATTTTAGAATCCTAACTACATGCAGGTGGTAATATACTCTAGAATAATCACCTACTTGTTATAAATAAAGGATGTAACGCATGTAAGATTTCTGGAAAAACTATTAGTATTCCTCCGGGCTCTTGGTAAGCTATCCTTATTACTTCCTTCTCTTTGGTATTTTGCTATTGCTTTATGGTATCAGAGCAGGAGCTCTAACACTACTCCACCCAGTCCTCTCCGGGACTCCACCGGCCAACCAACAATTGACCGCCTGATCTACCACCGACCTCACCATGGAAGCATCACAAATGTCAGAGACACAAGGTAATAACTCTACAGCAAATCCCTCAGATGAAACTACATAGACAGCCACTATTCCCACCAATCTCAAATTCATTACGAGTAATATTAAAAATTTTGCTTATACCTAACTTGCCGCCGACAACTACCCATTGTGGAGAGCCCAAGTGCTCAAAATCGTTTCAGCAAATGGATTTCTTGGCTACCTGGATGACAGCAATAAAAGCCCACCAAAATTTATTATCTCCGAGAACGATTCCCCAACTTCCAATCCTCTCTGCACAATGTGGACTCTTGTGGATCAAAATTTGACGGCAGCTCTATACTCAATCACCTCGTGTCCGACTTCAATCATTTACAAATGGCTACTCCTGCGACCGGAGGTGAACAAGTCCTCATGGGCAATGGACAATCCGTCCCGGTCCAACATTATGACAACGGCATTCTTCCAACACCAAAGTGTAAGTTTGTTATTTACCTTTCCAACTTATACACTCTGATGTATGGGATCACTCCCCAATTTATCTAATCAAGTATATCGTTACTATGTTGTGTTTATTGATGAATTTTCTAAATTTTCCTGGTTATTTCGTATGTGATACAAACATGAAACACCTCAAAAATGTATAACATTCATCAAAATGAATAAAACGCAATTCCAAACGCCCATTCGACTATTTCACTTGGCTCGGGACGGCGGAAGCGAATACAATAATTCTAGCCTCCTTGAACTTCTTTCTCATGAGGGTATACTACACCAATTTTTGTGTCCCTACACACCCTAACAAAATGGTGTTGTGGAACGGAAGCATCACCACCTCCTTGAAACCACTCGCACTCTTCTTCATGATGCTGCAAAAGGCCATCTTCTGGGTTGACGCCCTCCAAAAGGCCATCTACTTAATCAATCGGATGCCATCCAAACCCAACCACTTCATCTCACCCTATGAACGTCTCTACCACAAACCGCCAATGTATTCCCACATCAAAATACTTGAGTGTCACTGCTTCCCATGGCTCAAACATGCGGCTCCTCATAAACATGCACCTCGCTCTATCCCGTACATATTTCTTGGAAACTCCTCGGCTCCTAAAGTATATAAATGCTATGATCCTCAATCAACTAAAATTTTAATCTCCAGGCATCTAATCTTTAATGAATCCATCTTTCCCTTCAAATCCATCAATCTAAATCCTCCCACAGCCTCACCTCCTCAACCCAACCCACCTCTCCTGTTACCACACTCCATCTCCCACGGCTCTTTAGTCCCCGTACACCAACCTACTACCTCCAACCAGCTTAACCCGATCCTTCTGCCACCCGAATCAACACTACAGCAATCACAACCCCCTCCTCCCACTACCCCAGCTCTACCACCAACCGTAACAACTCCACAGCCAATTCAGATCCACGCCAAAACAGGGAAATTGAAACCCATTCAAAAATTAAATCTCTCCCATAACCTTTAACACAACCCAGATCCTTCCTCCTATACTCAAGCTATAAAATTTCCACATTGACATGTCATGACAGAGGAATTCCATGCTCTTCAAGCTCAACAGACAGGGACTTGGTCCCCCTACCACCAAATCAACCTATAATCGGGTGTTGTTGAACATACTGTACTAAATTCAATTTTGATGGAGTTGTCGCCGATCTAAAGCCCGCTTAGTGGCATAAGGTTATAAACTAGAATACGGGATTAACTATGTTGAAATGTTCAATCCGGTTGCCAAAATGGCTGCTCTTCGTACCCTCTTCACCATAACCTTCAACAAATAGTAGTAACTCTTCCATTTTGATGTTGTTAACGCATTTCTGCATGGACAGCTTGAGGGCAATTTATATGCAACAACCCATCGGCTTCAAAGATAGTCAACTTCCCAACCACGTGTGCTTACTCAAGAAAGCATTATATGGTCTTACAAAATCCACTCGACAATGGTTCACCGCTATATCCAAGTTTTTTCTAGACCGCGGCTTCCAAATCCGTAAAACCAATCCCTCTCTACCAGTCTTGCGCACACCAACGCATCAACTCTTCATCTTGATTTACGTTGATGATATGCTTATAACCGATAGTCATGTGGCTATTATCGAGGCTCTCACAGAGCAACTAGCCTCCACATTTCAGATCAAGAACCTCTGTCAAGCATCCAAGTTCCTCGGCATCCAGGTGGCCCGCACCAAGACCTACATGGTTCACCATCAAACCCAATACCTCCTGTGCATCCTCCAGGAAACGGCTATGCTCGACTACAAACCAAGTGCAACTCCACTCCCGATCAAGAGGTATGATACTGCCTTGTCAAATGAACCGATAATCACATAGAATATCGAAAAATTACAGGTGCACTTCAATATCTAACGATCACGAGACCAGACATTGCATTCAATAAATTTACTGTTTTAAAGCTAACTTCTATATGGTTGTCAAGATAAAGAAAGGTTTTTCTATTACTAATGTTTTGGAATTTTCTCTCAAGAGACTTCCACAAAAATATTTAGGTTGTTCTCTTGGCTTCAAAGCATTGCAAAAGGAGCATTGGTTTCCTGCATAAAAAAATGAAAAAAGCTTTTTGTGGAAAGGCAGTGTTAATGGAAAGGGTATCCTTTTGGTCCAATGGAAAAATATTTGTACACAAATAAATATTAAAAAGCTTCAATCAAATGGATATTTCACCTCTCTAAATGAATCTGGAAATCCAAGGGCAGTTTAATTCCTTAGCTAGTAATATCATAAAGAACAAGTAATTCATTGACTCGCCTTCACTTCATTTCTGGTAGGGCAAAGGTACTCCTGATTCTCATTTCATTAAAGGTGCTAGAAAAATTTTCTTCTCCTTTCTTCAATATGAATTCTTGGAAAGTTCATAAAGGTGAAACTGGTTTGGAATTTGAATTGTTTGGAAAAATCAAAACATTACACTTTTACTGGTTAGCATGTTCATTGGAAAGAAGACACTCCTTTACATATCTAATAATACCTACAATCATTGATGATCATCATATATGACATTACTGAAGATCTTTGGGACATTTCTTTTCTCTGCTCTCTAGAAGATTTTGAAAAAAGAAAAAAACAGCATGTCTTTCATATTCTTCCAAAGATGCCAAGGACATCTAGTTCAGGAAACTAGCTTAACCTTACTTCCGGTCGATTCTGCTCTTGGAAAAAAGGCCAAATAAATTTTAAAGAACATAAGGGGTAAAAATATTCTAAAAAAATTATTGGAACTTTTTAAATTTTAGGCCTCTTAATTCCGTTATGCTATTTTCCTTTATAACTTTTCATATTCTGGAACTCTGCAATAGTGTTGTTTTATCTTCATCATGAGAAGAGATCGATCTAGCTTTTCAAGAAAAGGAAGATTCCTGAACAAATTTTAATATAGATGTAGCTTTAGGTTCAACTAGATCAGATGTAAATCTATTGACTAACTGCAAATAGAATTGCAACGTATATATTCTCAAAAATATACATGAATTCCAATTTCCTCAATTAGATCACATTCTACCAAAAAGAAATCTTCAGTTGATGTGTGTTTGATGGATTTTGCAAGAGATGATAACAAATTTACATGAAGGATATTAAATAGACGTGTGATAATCCTAAGAGAATGATTGCAATAATCTTCAATCTCTAAAGCTCAATATAAGACCAAAAACTTTGTATAATTATAGCACAAATCATGAGTAATCATTTGACCAAGACCTTTACAAATATTGAAAATGATAACATCATAGATTTATCACAAGGAATATTTGTCTAA